TTCCCTTCGTGGATCAGGTACCAGTAATTTCCGATTAACTCGTTCACTATCACCTCCTGCCGCAGGTCTTATCAAGAACACACTCTGGTCCTCGTCACACTCAACAACAACAAAGGATTCTTCCCTGAAATGGTCGGCATGCTTATGACGCTTGGTGTGCGCAGTCTGTTTCAACAAAACACGATCACCTACTCTCAGCGGTGAAGCTCGGGCTCGTTTATCATGACGACGCTTGTTCGCTGCTGCAGCACGTTCCAATCTGTTTCTGACAATAGCGTTCGACTCTCGAAGGTGCTTGCCTTTGGATACTATCCTCACCCCAATTTCCTCTGGTATTACCCAACAAGTGATCCAGTGGCACAACTGCCTTGCGACCAAACATCGAGGTATAAGGAGGATACCCAGTGATACTGTGAGGCGTTGTTTTGTAGATATGAACCAAGTGCATCAAACGATCAGGCCAGTAGTTACCTGCCCATTCCCTTGCGGGAGGTAGGGCGTTGTCTGTGACTTATTGATCCCATAAAATGAACATAATTCCTTAATGAGTCTACTTTCAAAGTCCCGCCCCTGGTCTGAGTGGATTCGAGCTGGCACTCCATAATGAACGAACCATCCATCACGAACAGCTTTAGCTACCGTCGAAGCTAACTGATCTCGACAAGGAATAGCTATTGAAATCTTTGAAAACACATCTGTGAAAACTAGAACATCATCCATATTCCCCTTTGAACAATCCAATTTGAGGAAATCGATTGTGAGGCATTCCAAAGGTTGGAATGCTAACAAATGCTTCAAGGGTGGTCTAACAGTTGGAGTTAGAGCCTTTGACTTCCTACAATGAAAACACTGAGCCACATGCTCCTTCAAATGACTTGACATTCCCGGTCAAAAAGCTCGTAGTTTCACAAAAGCTGTAGTGCGTCCGACCCCCTAGTGACCCCAATGATTATGAGCGGCTTCCATTTTGTTATTCAAAGTCTATTGGGAACCAAGTATTGGAGAGTGTCGCCTGTACCTGGATCATGCAAGACTTGATATAATACACCATTTCGCTCTTTAATACGCGGCCATTCTTTAAGCCAACCGTTGACTTCTGAAGGCAACGACTTATCAGTTGGGTACCCTTGCCCCGGGTCCCATTGTCCTTGCCACAGCTTCCACGCAACACTTAAGGCTCTGCCATCTTTCTGCATAATGGCAAGGTCTTCCGGCGAATATGATGGCAAGATGGATGGCATTGAACAAGAAGGCATCTCTTGCCCTTCTGGTGTAGGCCTACACCTTCCAGAATAAGAGACCGGGGCTGATCTCACAATTTAGGGTAAGGGTGTCCCCCCCTGGGTCTTCAGTGCTCGGCGTCAACTGGTCATCACAGGTTGAAGGGTATCTACTTAGTGCATTGGCACACCTGTTAGACTTCACGGAACGATATCTAATATTTAAGTCAAAGATCGCCAGTTGAGCAACCCATCGGTGCTCCACTGCACCCAACTTGGCAGTTTTGAGATGTGCCAATGGATTATAGTCGGTCAAGACCAGAGTTCGGCGTCCCCAAAGATACTCTCTAAATTTATCAACAACTGCCCACTTCAGGGCTAGGAGCTCCAACTTAAAGCTCGGTAAATCTGAATAGGACTTTTCAGCCCCTTTGAGACACCAACTGGCGAAAGCTACTGGATGGAGAGCCCAGAATCATCATACTGAGAAATGCACGCCCCTAATCGGCTGACGGCACCGATACGGACTCGACGCAGTGGAAGGACTAGCAGGCCGACGATGATTCCTTCGGCTCTGCGGGTCTCCTCACCTACAACGGGCCCCTCAAACCCGACGAACTCCTTACCTTCCTGAAAACCGTCAAATCCAGCAAAAAACCTGAACTTGTTGCACGGAAATTCTCCTCAAACACCCCCGGCCTTGTTGCTCAACTAAAACTCCTGAAAACAGCCCTCTCCTCAAACGAAACTTTTACAAACTCATTAAAAAGCTAGATGTCTAATTTCTTCCCCTTTTTCTTCTCATTATGGAATTTTCTGACTTCACTTTTTATATTTTTATGACACTGTCACTGCTGACTTTGAACGCGAGAGGTTCTTCGTCTCCGATTAAACATGCCTCTCTTCACACCTATATCGACACCCTTTGCAATAAACCGGATATCCTTTTTCTCCAGGAAACCTATACTTTAAACAATCGTTTTGAATCCTGGAGTTCATGGCCTGGCTATA